TTATCTCTATGGTTCCAGGTTTGAAGTGTTTAGTGATCATAAAATCTTGCGGTATCTATTTGATCAGAAGGAATTGAACATGAGACAAAGGAAATGGTTGGAATTATTGAAGGACTACGACTTTGGCTTGAATTATCATCCAGGTAAAGCTAATGTTGTAGCTGAAGCTTTGAGTCGAAAGACTTTGCATATGTTTGCTATGATGGTTAGAGAACTAGAGTTGATCGAACAATTTAGAGACATGAGTTTGATCTGTGTAGTGACACTACAAAGTGTGATGTTGGGGATGTTGAAGATTAACAGTGACTTGTTAGATAATATTAAAGAAGCTTAAAAGTTAGATGTGAAGTTGGTAGATTTGATGGTCGAGAGTAACAAATCTGAAGACAGTGACTTTAAAGTAGATGCCCAAGGTGTGTTGAGATTCCGAAACAAGATTGTATTCCTGATGATGCTGAAATGAGAAAGATGATTATGGAAGAGAGCCATAGAAGCAGTTTAAGTATTCATCCGAGAGCTACCAAGATGTATAACAACTTAAAGAAGTTATTTTGATGGTCCAGGTTGAAGCAAGATGTGGCACAATTTGTGTATGCATGTTTAACTTGTTAGAAGTCAAAAGTTGAACATCACAAACCTACAAAACTGTTAGAACCTTTAGACGTTCCGGGGTGGAAATGAGATAGTATATCTATGGACTTTGTGACGGGACTTCCAAGTACTCCAAGAGGGCACGATGAGATTTGGGTGATTATTGATAGGTTAACAAAATCAGCCTACTTCATTCCGATCAGTATTAATTTTTTTGTACCGAAGTTGGTAGAGACTTATCTTTGGGTAATTGTAAAGCTACACAATGATTCGTCTAGTTTTGTGTCGGATAGGGATCTGAAATTTACTTCAAATTTTTGGAAGAGTTTGTAGAATGCGTTGGGCTTGAAGCTGAAATTGAGTTTTGCATATCATCCACAGACAGATGGTCAGACAGAGAGGACTAGTCAGTCGCTAGAATATTTGTTGAGAGCTCGTGCTCTTGAGCAAGGAGGTACATGGTATAGTTGTCTTCCTTTGATTGAGTTCACTTACAACAATAGTTTCCATTCTAGTATTGGTATGGCACCTTTCGAGGCATTGTATGGTCGAAGATGTAGAACACCGCTATGTTGGCATGAATCGGGTGAAAGTGTAGTACTAGGACCCAAAATTATGCGACAGACTATGAAGAAGGTGAAGATGATCCAAGAGAAGATGAGAGCCTCGCAGAGCAGACAAAAGAGTTACCATGATAAGAGAAGAAAAGATCTTAAGTTTCAATAGGGATATCATGTATTCTTGAGAGTATCTCTTGTAAACGGTGTAGGACGTGCCTTGAAGTCAAGGAAGTTGACTCCTCAGTTTATTGGTCCGTATCATATTTCAGAGAAGGCGGGGAATATTACGTATAGAGTCGCACTACCACCTAATTTATCAAATCTCCGTGATGTGTTCCATGTGTCGCAACTTCAGAAATATGTTCCAGATCTGTCACATGCGATTTTGATAGATGATGTACAAGTACGAGATGACCTTATTGTTGAGACCGTACCTGTGAGAATCGAAGATCGTGAAATAAAGAGGTTGAGGAGCAAAGAGATCGCCCTTGTGAAAGTGGTTTGGGGAGGAGCTACCAGAGAGAATGCGACATGGGAATTATAAAGCAAGATGCGGGAAGCTTACCCAAAGTTGTTCACTTGAGGTAATTTTTTAGGACAAAAATCTTTTAAGTGGGAGAGAGTTGTAACACCCCGGTTTAATTAAGGTTATTTTTATTTAAAAATAATTAGATGAGATGATGTGTTTACGGTGATGATATGTTTTACAATGTGATGAGATACTATTTGGGAAATTAGTGGTCGAATTATTGGAGGTGTATGACTAAAAGCGTAGAGACCATGAGGTGAATGAGGAATATGAGCATTATTAGTATCAAGATGTTATTATCATTATTAATATTATTAACATTATAGATACAATTTATTTATAATATCAGTAATTAAATAATTAATTAAAAATAAGAAGGGCAAGGTGGAAATATGAATTTAGGGGTCTAAGATGTATTATTAGAAACCAAAAGTGAGAACACGAGAAAATAGATCGAAGAAGTGAGAAGCAGAAGAGAAGAGGAAGAACCTAGGGCTAAAGGGATGACTCCATTGGAGCATGGAAGAGAACTCAAAACCTAAGGTAAGGATGGGGTTCTAACTCTATAAGGATTTGTATGATGATGGGTTATGGTAGAGTTAGGTTGAGTAATTGTTTAATCATTCTTTGTGTGAAATTGGTGTGTATGTGATTTGTATATGTGATGATTTGAGATGTTGAATTTGATGTGTGTAAACTCTTGATTTTGAAGATGTAAAGTAATCTCATTGATGATTATGATGTATTCCTATTTGGTATTGAAGAATTGCTGCTATTTCATGTGAAAATTTGGTATTTTGGAGTTTTGAAAAGATGGGAATCGTAACCTGTAAATTGCAGATTTTCTGAAAAAAATAGTAGTGGTAATCGGTTACCACGTGTAAAAACTTGGTTATGGGAAGAAAAATTGTGAAGGGTAGCCAGTTACCACTATAGGGTAACCGGGTTCCCAGTGCCTTCCCAGAATGATGATTTTTTTCAAAATAGCAGTAACCGGTTACTGAGATAGGGTAATCGGTTACCGCGAGAAAATTTTAAATTTCAAAGTTACTATTTTACAACTCTTTCTGTTTGAATGTTGTCTCTATGTGGGTAATACGCAGGTGACAAATATTAGATCGCTTGAGGTATGAAGTTGTACCTCGTATTGCGTAGATTGAGTCAAGTCTTGCTCTGATACGTAACGTCGGGGATGAACGCTCATTTTATTTAATTGATGTTTTCTTTGGAGATTTTTTTGGGAGATTTCTAAACTCCCTTTTAATTGAGAATTGTTGATCATATAACAAATTGATGATGTTGGAATTAAATTATGAATTATTTTTCGTTGCGTTAATGAAGTTGAGGTATTGAGAACTATGATGATGATGTTGTCAGTTCATCCAAAATGCGTGTTATGTGTCAAATTGTTAAATAGAGAGCAAATTGCATGATGATGAATGATGTGACATTCTATTTTATTGTAATGAAAAGTTTTAATTTACTCTGATTTATTTAAATATGCGACGGGGGAAAGCAGGGTGTTACAAAAATCCTCAAATCAACCTAAAAATCTCAATCAAATATTCTCTGCTACACAAGAACCTAATTGGACGTTATCGAACATCGTCTAAATGGCACCCCAACAAAAAGATTATTATGTGCGATTTGTTAGTGTGTATGCATATATTAGAAGTTGAAGGTGAATAGCAGTTGCAGGATATTTTTATGATATTATCGAGTTGGAATGAAATATGTATGATGTATTTATAGTTGTGGAAGTTTGGTGGCAAAAAGAGAAACTTCGAAATTAAAAAAAATATGAAAATTTTGACCCAAATAATAGTATGAGCCGACCTGAAATTTGTATGAGCCAACACATAGAACTGAACATAATAGTATTAGTCGACCTGAAAAGACTTATGTGCCGACACATAACAAACAACAGCTACATGCTGTAAAACTGCAGTACATGAATCATCCTGAAAATCGTATGAGCCGGCTTGTATAAGCCAACGTGAAATAGTGTCGGCACATGCAAGTGTGTTTTGTGCAGAAAAATGATTTTTCATGATTTAGATAAATTATAAACTTGTTTTGAATGCTTTCTAAGACCTCTAATGCAAGAGATGCCACCACAAATCAGGGATATCGTCCAATATACAGAAATGTTAAGTTCTTATAATTTTGACATCATACAAAACATATTTAAAGACAAGTTGCACTCACATTTATTCTCTTGACTCATTTATCGCATTATATTTGACCGAAACATGTCATTTCTCACGTTTCCTTATGTTGAGCGAGTGGATTGTGTCACAGACGATGTTAATCTCTTTGCCCCTTCTAGGTCTTTCAAAAATATATCATTATAGTTTTAATCTTTAATAATATATTTGTTCCATGGTGAAACTAGAAATGGAGAAGATTACAGAAGCTACGGTGAAATGAAGCTTTCTATGTGATTCAGCGATGTGACGTCTTGGACCGAAAGTTGCGATCTTGATGCATCTTGAATCAAAGGCGTTGATTTTGAACTGGTGTTGTTAATCTCTATTACGTTGAACTAAAGAGAGGTGTCTGCATGGTTAGCACTTCAATGCTCAAGTCAGTTTAGAGTTCAAGATAATCATAGTGAAAATGGAAATTAAATATTGTGTACTTGAAAATCCTTTATAAATGTATTTATATTTTGGACTCAATAGAGCAAATAAGATAAATAAACCTTATTTTATTAGTTTTTTGACCAACTCAGAATAATATTTAAATTATAGACTATTAAAATTAGTCTTTCAATTTATAAAAATAAATTTTAAAAATCTTTTAATATTTAAAAAATAATTTTCCTAAAAATTAATTTTAAAATTAAAAAACAGATATATTTTTAAACTTAAAACAAACGGTCCAACCTATAACTCTTACATATATTTTTCAACATCTAACAAAAATCATATCACAAGAAGAAACTCACTCTTAACTCAAAGTACGTTTAAATAATAAAACTTAATCAAAAGCTTTAAAACAAGTATACACCAAGTTAATATATATTTCAACACCCTCACATCAATTTGAACCAACATTATCTTCCACAATACATATTGATTGTTCAGTAACCCAAACTCCAAAGCTTTCAGGAAAACCTCTTTATTTAGTATTATACAGAAAGAGAAATGATATTGTTATACAAAATGACCACGTTACATAGTCTCATATGTTAACAACAAAGAACTTTATTATTTGTAATATCTCACAAAAACACCAGTATATTGCAGCAAGGTAAAAACGCACCGTTTTACCATTGTTTTTTCAAAGTACACTAAAAAAGATGCATGAAACAAACTCTACGATTTGGCAGAATCCAACCCACCCGATTTCTTCAGAATAGCCATAGTTCCAAAAACCATAAACCCAATAACATGTCCGAAAATTGCGGCGAGAAACACGCCACCATTAAACGACATAACTGCCAACATAACCAAGTACGAGAAACCAGTACGAACACCGTACAGTCCCGTCCTAAGAAGCGACCCAACAACGTCGTTTGATGCCCCAGGTTTGAGTTTCACAATGTTAGTAAACGAAAGCCACTCCACCAAAACCGCCATGACGAAAACGAGAATCAACGCCAACGCGTACATGCCGGCGCTGTCGCCGGGCCAGCACTTGAATAATATAACCGCTCTGTGTCCCCAATAGAAGGATGTGTGTATCGGAATTCTCCTCCGTCCTAACATCGTCGCCACCGTAGAGTTGGACTGAAAACCGTTTCCGGGAGCGGTACACGACATAGTCATGTTATGTGACTTTGAAGTATTATTATATGTTATGTGATGTGACAAGTGTTAGAGGAATAATGAAGATTGTGGGTTATGGTTTTTATATGCGTATAGAATTTTTTGTCGGTTGGAACATGGCAGATTTGAACATGAAGATTTTATTCTTGTACAAATAAATTGTTCTGTGATTCATTTGCAAGCAAACAAGCTAGCAGTACTCTAAAACGTATGAAGAAATAAACTCAATGGGAAGTTAAGGGAAAGAAGAAAATGCATAATTGCTTTATTTCAGCCTAATAGGTTTTTCAGAAAAATGGGACCCTCACCCACCGACAATTTTGCTCTAAAGTTTCAAGGCAAGCAAGTAATGATTTTGGTGAGATCCTAAAACTCATCTCGGTTATACTTTCTTCTAACAATAAAAATTAAATAATGATGTAAAATGTGTAATTCAAGTTTTGTGTTAATCGATTATATAATGTCTTTAATAGATTACAACTTTAATGTTTTAGTTTTTCACTTAAGTTGGTTAGTTAGTCTAATGTTCAATGTTGTATAAATATCACTCTTTCAACAATTCTCATTCTCTCTCCGCATATAAATTTGTGTTATTGTGTCTTTTCCTTAACATTTGACATCCAAGAGTTTTATTCTTTGTTCTCAATCTAGTGTGTGATAGCCTCAATCTCGAATAAGCAAATTGCTGCAAATCTTCTAATTGTTGATGCAAAGAATTATGATAAGTGGTGCATCTTGATGAATGTGGTGTTTAGTTATTCTCAATCTAGAAGAATATTGACAAAGCAATTAATGAAATTGCTTTGTAGGTCTGTTTTAGTGGAAGAGACAAGAAAGTGGTATCCAAACAGGGGCTGAGGGAGCTACCACAATAATGGTGAAAGGAATTTTTAGAATGCCAACAATTCAACAACCCAAAGAGGTGAATATAGTAACAACAATCATGGTGGATCCAACAATAGTTATATATGTGGTGGAAACTATAGAGGAAAATGAGGCAAGAAGAAGTTTGATAAGAGTAATATTAAATGCTACAATTGTCAAAAGTTTAGACACTTTGTTGATCAATGTTATGACAACAAAAAAGATTCACAAGAAGATGAAGCAAATCTTGCAAGGCAAGAGAATGGTGATGAGAACACGCTACCAATGGTGAATATTGCTGAAGGAAGTGGTAACCAATTACATGCCATATGTAATCGATTACTAGTAAAAGAAAGTGTGTTTGCAACCATCAGAGAATATGTTGAATGCACTGATCAATGGTACTTTGACTCAAGATGCTTAACTCACATGACTGGAAGCAAGAATAGGTTTGTAAATATCAATCAAGCCATGAAGAATAAGGTGAAATTTGCACACGATAACACACTAGCAGCAAAAGGGATTGTTGATGTATCAATTAGGAGAAAAAATGCTGAACATTCTTTAATTACAAATGTGTTGTACATTCTTGGAATCAAGTGTAATCTGTTAAGAATTGACCAATTACTTGAAAAGAAATTATAAGATTCACATGATAGACAAAGTGTTTATATTTCTAGATTCAAATGGAAATTTAATTCTAAAAGCCCTTATAACAAAGAAAAAACCTTTAATATTTAGCTCAATGTGATGAAGCATAGGTGCTTGACAACAACTGCTAATAGAGATGAGTGAATATGGCACTATAAACTTGAGCATCTCAACTTCAGAGATCTCAATTCTATGCAGGAAAATTGTATATGGTCTTAGGCTTACCAAAGATACATATACCATCAAAAGTTTTTCAAAGTGAAGACTGATCCCAAAGGTAAATTGATCAAGATCAAGGCCAAATTAGTAGCAAAGAGATTTCTGCAAAGATAATGCATAGAATATGAGGAAATGTTTGCACCAGTGGCCATAATTGAGACCATTAGACTACTTGTTGTAATTGTGAATAGCAGCAACTGGTTCATCTGTCAAATGGATATCAAATCAACATTTTCGAATGGTCCTTTAGAAGAAAAAGTGTATGTAGCACAAGCTCCTGATTTTTTGTTGTCGAAAATCAGGAATCAAAATTCTACAAACTAAAAAAAGCATTGTATGGGCTAAAGAAGGAACCTATGGTTTCAAACAAGAGGAATGATGGCTATCTAAAGAAACTAGGATTCAAAAAGTGTGTATTTGAACATGGAGTGTATGTCAAGAAAGAAACACTCAAAAGGAATGATCATCCTATGTAATTATATTGATGACCTACTTATCACATGAAGTAATGAAGACTACATTGGGGAATTTAGGAGTGGCCTAATGAAGGAGTTAGAAATGAAAAACCTTGGTTAATATTTCGGGTTGACCAAAGGCCCAAATGGCTTAAGCCTGCATCAACTCAAATCACTCCACTTGAACCAAGATATAAAATCAATTCACATGAAAATTAAGGTATATTCTCTGATCTCCATTTTTCACTACACTAATCTTAAATCATGAGCTGAATTGGGCATTGGAGTGCTAACCATGTAGGTCTAAATCGCGCTATCGTAATAGAGATCAACACTACTAGTTCAAGATACTCAGTTCCTCAACTGCATCCAGATTTGTGGTTCTGGAATAGAATAATGGCGCCGTCTATGGAAAACAACTCCATATTCCTATGATTTCCACAATTTTAGATTCAATCTCCGATTTAGCAGTTTGTAACCCTTAGGTCATCGAATCAAGAGAATTTCATCATCAAACATGAAGATATATCTCATTCAATCCAATCATTTATCATTTCAACTACGATTCATCACATTTCCATATCTTTGATTCCCTTGAGAACTATGCGAAGTCAACAAAAGAAAGGATTACAGATCCAAATAAATATCCAAACTATAATTACCCGAAAATGGAGGCAATTCCATTGAAGGTCATTTCAAAGATTCATGATCCATATTTCGATCTAACAATGTCTATATTGCCTACCGTTAATGTGATGCTTACTATGATCGGTGGAAATAGAACTGACTGTTTTGAAATGCTGGTTCGCGTTTGCGTTTCACAAAATGTCGCGGTAAGCAAGAGTCGCTGCCGTCTTTTATTTTCTCCAACAAGGAAAGGACAAAAGCACAGCAAAATTCCTTTTCGAGATGTTTCTCGGTTCGGGAGGTAGATTATAGAAAGGGAAGGTGTTAACACCCTTTCTATTTGTGGTTATCCACGGGCTCTTAGATACTTTCTCACTATGTTTTCAAAAATGTTTTGCTTTTCTTGTGTTTGTGGGTCTTGAAAAAAAAGTTTGTTTGAAAACTTCGACTTAACTCTTGTATCTGTCCTCAAGAGTGTATGAAGTGTTTGTTTGAAAACTTTTGTTTGAAAAGTGTCAGTGCGAAAAGTTGTTTTTGTTTTTTGAAAGAGCAAGTATCTAAGAACCTCTACCTACTCAAAAGAAATTAAGCTGTGTAAATGTCCTTTAGATAGTACTATCCCACTATTGAGAAGTAGGTAGCACCGTCGTTGGAGTTTATTCGGGTCAATTCGATTATAGGGACATGTGTGGTCACCAAAGCAATAGTAGGATGTCTTAGCGGTAACCATAATGTCCTAGATCCTTTTTTATTCGAGGCAACCGTTTCGAGGCAACTTGGATCTTTAGACAGGAGGGCGACCTCTAAAACACCCTATACTCAATGACCACGTCGAGGCAACCAAGTGAGGCGTACCCTAGGAGTGGCATGTGCGAGTGTGTCAGGATTCAATTAAATTATCTTTGCACAATTTATGGTGAGCTACGGGTTGATTTTAATCTGAGAACAAGTCTTGTCATACATAGCAGTTAATAATTGCGGAAAGTAAATTGCAGAAAATAAATCTACGCTATTACAAGGCGTCGGGTATTTACATCGCCAAAAGCAACCCTTGAAAAGTAAAGTGAGAGAAATTAAAGAAAGCGATAAAAAGTCCTAATTAACGCTATTACATCCTCGGAGCAATTACATAAATATGATCAAAAAATAATATGCGTGAATAAAGTTGAATCGGAGAAGTCCTTAGGGTGTTGATCCTTTCTTGAGAAAGAATGAAATTTTGGTCCTTTTTGCATTTAATTAAATCTAATTCTAATTAATTAAATAAAAGAAATATTTTTTAAGTTTTTTATGTTTTAAAGAAATAGATAAAAAGAAATTAAAATTGTCAAGAAAACCCTAATTCTACTTTATTTTATTTGTTATGAAAATAATTAAAATTAACCTAATTAAAACAACTAAATTAATTAATTACATTTATTTACAAAAATAATAAATTAAAGGTGAAATTAATAATAATAATAATAAAAATATTTTATTTTCTGGTTTTCTGAATTTTATTATGAAAATAATTAATTATGTTAATTTTAATGATAATAATAATAATACTTAATAAAATAGTTAAATAAATAAAATAGAAAATAGAAAATAAAAGAAAAAGGAATGAATGAACCAGGGGGGTGCTGGCCCATTAAGGAGGTTTGTTAGCAATTCTGGCCCATTTGTACACAAGCCCTTTTGACTTTCTGAGATCATCCACGCGTGCTTTGACTAGGGAGTACCATGGTCATCATCTCATGGCCATTAGATGTGAGCTGGAAGACACCTGGCGCCTGGAATGTGAGAGTGCATGGTGGAACACTGCCTGAAGCCTGCATGTAATCATATGTAGAAAAATAGAAACAAATATTTGGGGGACCTGGGATTCGAACCCAGGTCCCAATGATCACCAGCCAGCGCATCATCCACCAAGCCATTTGCACGCATTTGTTAATATGATAAGAAGCAAATATAATATTAAGAAATAACCCAATATGCTGTAACACAAATAAAACACGCGCCCTTTTTGAATTAGCCAACCACATACTAACACGTCCTTCGTCTTCCTCGTTTGCCTGTAAAAAACAAAGTTAGATAGCAGGGGTTTTTGACCCCCACAAACTGCAATGACCAAAAATAGCGATTAGCCCTGTGTTGAATATAAATATTTCGCGATGGTTCCAATGCGTTCGTCTGGTC